TGTAAAATGTTGGTGATGGGATTTCACTAAATATTGCAAATATTAGAACAGTGCCTGGCACACGGAAGTATCATTTTACTTGGATTCTCAATCCAAATAATTCCTTAGCTTAATCATATTCTAAAATACCCCTTTAAAGATCATTTTCACCTGGCACAGGCAAGATGAAAAAGCGTCAAGCCACAGCAAAATGTAATTACTTAAAGCTGTTTTAAATTAGGCCCAATAGCAGAGTGATTAGCCAATACTGAAAGATGTTTGGTGAACCACAATTATAGATATCAAAGAACTATTGCAGTTCACCCCTTTACTAAGTTAATAATTAAAATCCTTTTTTTCCCCCTAAGAGGGGTCATGCAGATGTTTACTACAATGTATTTTAACAGTTTGCTACTGTAAATGGTATGAACAACTTTAAGGAAAATCTTAAACAAAATGCGATCTTAGATTACAACCCCAAACTATTATTTACCAATCTCAACAATGTTACTGTTACCTTTTTAACTTCAAGTTAGTAAAGGGCATACCGTATCTGCTATAAAGTCGTGGGGAGAGAAACTGCACTGGGATCATGCTCAAAACACGGGGGCTAGGGAAAACGGCTTTTCAAAATACAGAATATTTGCCTCAGTGGCCACGCCAAGGTAACGAGAACCGACCCCCACCCTGAGCCACGTGGGGTTTTCTGTCTCCTCCTGCGCGCTTTCTTCCGCAGTCAGAGGATCCAAGAAAGTGACCTCAAAGTGGGGGGCGTGTCCGGGGGCGGGCCGGGGTAGCCTCTGTGCTGCCGGGACCCGAACCGGCGGGTCCCGGGTCGCCTACAGGTGTCCCAGCACACAGCCAGCGCGGGTCGCTCGGCCCCGGGAGCGGGCGAGCGGGCGCCAGGGAAAGGCGGCCCGGTGTCCTCCTCGCCGCCGGGAACCGCGGCGTACTACCGGCGCCGCCCAGACCCCCTTCCTCTGAATCTGGGTGCGCCCGGAGCTGCGCGTGACTCCCGGAGACTCGCGTTCTCGTTGCGCTCTGGCCCGGACCAAGGTGAGAAGGTCCGGGACCTCTGCCCTCCGAGAAAAGGCCTGCGGCTACTATCTAAATCTAATTCTCAATATAGCTCGAGATGCCCCCACCCTTCAAAAGTCTGGACCATTATCGCGACATGAATAAGAGCAACAAGTCAGTGGTGCCCAGTAGGTTACTTAGATAGAAATTAAGGAATTATGTATCATCTTGCTTTTCCTTAGATTGTATTTTAAAAAGGATCCTCTATAAGGTATTTATAAGTACCTTATATACTTTATATACTTACCTGCAATCACAGAACCTTGGAGAAAACTTGCCTACAATCTGGGATGGCTTTGGAGTCATATTTCTTTAATTTTCCTTTCTCTCCTAGGCATAATAATGCCAAGTTCGGCTGTCTTTATTTGCTCTTGGAACATTCTTAGACCATTTTGTTACTTTATTTGCAATACTGGATTATTTTTTTTTTTCCACCATCCTAAAGAGCTATAAGGAGGAAGTACTAGCAAAATTAAAAGGTGAGTCAGGAGTTGGTAGTTTTTACAAGCTCCCGTGGAAATGTTTGTGTGCATCCGTTAAAGAATTCCAGTGTCCAGCATAGTGCTGAATACACACACATATCTATAAAAATTACTGTTAGGGGCACATGGGTGGCTCAGTCGGTTAAGCAACTGCCTTTGGCCCCCCTTGTGATCCCAGAGTCCTGGGATCAAGTCCCCACATCAGGCTCCCAGCTCACAGTAGGAAGTCTGCTTCTCCTCCCTCTGCCCCTCCACCTGCTCCTTCTCTCTCTCTTGCTCACTCTCTCTCCAATATATAAATAAAATCTTTAAAGAAATACTGTTAGAATTATAGTAAGTCCCTATTTTCAAACAATAATTCAACTGAAAGTACACATATCTCCAATTATTACAATTTTAGGATTGTATAAACATACTTGTTTGCAATGTCACATTTTATTGAATTGTGCAGATTTCAGAGGTCACTTTTCTCACTTTTATTTTATTAAATGAAAATCATCTTTGATACTTCCCCTCTTACCAGCATCCACTTTCATTTTGACTTTTCTTAGATTAGAGGTTGATTACAGTTTTGGATTCCATGTAAAGCTTTCAAGTACTCAACTTTTAGTCTTCTTTGGTGTTTGTTCCCTTCCCTCATGTCACTAACCCTTTGTTTACTTTTCCAAAATTTGCTATTCCTGTTAAAATATTTATATGACCTAGTATTATCTCCAATAATGTTCATTTTTTTTTTTTTAAGATTTTATTTGTCAGAGAGAGAGGGAGGGAGAACACAAGCAGGCAGAGAGGCAGGCAGAGGCAGAGAGGGAAGCAGGCTCCCCACTGAACAAGGAGCCCGATGTAGGACTCGATCCCAGGACCCTGGGATCATGACCTGAGCCGAAGGCAGCGGCTTAACCAACTGAGCCACCCAGGCATCCCTCTAATAATGTTCAAACCTAACCCATTCGAGGTTTGCTTAAGAAGGCATGGAAAATAATAAATCTAGGGATGCCTGGGTGACTCAGTCAGTTAAAGTGACTGCTTTCAGCTCAGGTCATGATCTCAGGGTCCTGGAATCCAGTCCTGCATTGGGTTCCCTGCTCAGTGGGGAACCTGCTTCCCCCTCTCCCGCTAACCCTGCTTGTGCTCTCTCTGTCAAATAAATAAAATCTTTAAAAAAATTAAAAAAAAAACAAAAAAGAAAATAAATCTAGTGTGGCATCCTAGTCTTAATCTGAATAACACAGGGTACATTTCATATTACTATGATGTACAAATATGACCAATTGTGGGAATTCAGTTTCAAAGAGAATAGTCATTAATATTTCCAAGGAAATAAGAGCAGAGGTATTTGCATTGTTCTATTGGTAGTGACTGATTTTAATTGGTATTTCTTACATTTTTATTATATTACAAACATTGACTAGCATACCAAGATGATTTTATTTCACATGTATATGACTGGGTAAGGGCACTAGGAAAATGCAATGTTAAAAAAGAATTTATGAAAGGAAAGAAGCTAGAAATATAGACATAGAAAATGCTTTTTGCTGGAAAAAGATTAGTTATGTGAATTTCTAAGTTACCTTAAATATGACCTAGTTTCTTTCATGAAAACTCAAAGTTAAAAAGAGAAAGCTAGATACCTGCTAATGAATAAAGAAAACTTATTTTTAGAAATTTATATCTACAAAGAGTGGTAAAACAAAAATATATAGCAAGGTTATTCTGAAAGACTTATTTTATTTACAAAGAAAAAAAAGGATTTGGGTGGTGAGAAGTAACTGAAAGCTATTCTACAATGAAATAGAAAGTAAGTAAGCACCATCAAGTTTGCCTTTAACTGCTTCCCAGTTGTTTTTTATATTAGTTTTCCTCTTCCAAATTGATTGTGGGTTCCTCCCCAAAAGGAAGTCTTTCTTTTGCACATGCCACAGAACTTCCCTTAGCCCTGGACACATAGTAGGTTTCAAGCAATTGTTAATAGATTGGCTGGAGGAGTTGCAGTGATGTTCCACACATGGAAGAGACATACTGATATAGTAACTAGCTCATTGAAAATAAAAGTTCTTTCATTCATTCATTCATTTATTTATTTATTTATTTATTTATTTATTTATCAGAGAGAGATCACAGGTAGGCAGAGAGGCAGGCAGAGAGACAGAGCGGAGAGCTCGATGCTGGACTCGATCCCAGCACCCGAGCCGAAGGCAGAGGCTTAAGCCACTGAGCCACCCAGGCGCCCCTAAAAGTTCTTTCTTGAAAGGAGTATTTCTCCGTCTGCCCTGATTGTCAACCAAAAAGGACTCAGCTGGTTTTATCCTCGATTTATGCTAAAATTTACTTAGAATCAATAGGACGACAGAAAATGAATTCATTTATTTAAATGGGATAGGCTACTTTTTAGGAGTGATTTCACAGCAAGTGTTTGGAATAGTTAATTGGGTGGATAAGCTTTCTGATGCTGTAGATCTTAGTTTCTACATGAGATCATGTGGAAAGACTGAATCTGAAAAATTCTTTTTAGGTTTCTCATTCTAGCAATCAAATGAGTGTACACTGGAAAGAAAATGTACCACGAGAGTAGAAACACACAGGGTCTTTTTATAGCGTAATAAAACTAGAGTTAAAAGGCAAAGTGTGGGATTGAAATCTATTCTAAACTGAAAAACCAGACGTCTGGAGTACCATATGGGGTGAACGTGTGATACGGGCTTCGATAAAAGCAGCGGGCTTTAAATGGAAAAAGCCAAGAGGCCAGCCCAAGATCATATTCGTCCTAGTCACCGCCACCGAGGTGAAGCCCTTAACGGATTCTCGGGCTGCGAAGGCGGCCCTTTGCGTCCTCCGACCCTCCCGGCCCTGAGTGCTGGGGCCTTGTACTTCTCTCTAGCCCGGAGGGGATCTGAAGGCAGGGACCGGGGAGGAGCCAGCCCGGGACAGACCTGCGACGAGCGGAGGAAGCGGCTCAAAGGGGCTGTCCCGGACCTTCGGGAGGACTAGGCTAAGAACTGGAGGGATATGGCCGAGGAGAAGAATACTCGAAATCTCCACAGCATCTTTGCAGTTAAACCAGGAACCGTAAAGGGAAGATTCTATACTTCCCCGCTGGGCCGCCTCCTCGCCGCCCCCACCCTCCCCAGCTGGAGCTAAGAGTAATTCATACAAAGAAGGACTGGCCTCTGCCTTGGGGAATCCCAGGGACCGTCGTTAAACTCTCGCTAACCTAGAACCGAAGGATGGCTCGTCCTCGCCTCCCCACCCACTCACTCTCGTCGTCATCGGGGTCGAGAGGAGCATGCGCGAGGCGATGTGAGCTCTTCAGTGGGCTGAGCGTACATCGCCCACGGTCCCCGAGACGTAGGGGGAGGGGACGGCGATTCAACCGGTGCCTGATGAAGTTGGCGCGGGGTAAACTGGGAAAGTGGTGTCGTGTGCTGGCTCCGCCCTCTTCCCCGAGGGTGGGGGAGGACCGTATATAAGTGCCGTAGCCGCCGTGAACGTTCTTTTTCGCAACGGGTTTGCCGCCAGAACACAGGTGAGTACCGGGTGTGGCTTCCGCGGGCTTGGCCTCTCAGAGCCAGCTCCGGCCCGCGCGTGCTTCTAGCTACTGCCGCGCCACCGAGCTACTTTCCGATGTTCTTGACCCCGAATTTAGGGTTATGAGTGGGTGGGGAGGTTCGAGGCCTTACGGTTTTTTTAGGACCTTCGCCTCGTGGTTGGTTTGAGGCCTGGCTTGGCTGGTGTGGCGGCCGCGTGCGAGTTCCGCCGAACCTTATTCTGTGGTAACAGTCGTTTTAAGTCCAGACGTCTAGCTTATAAGAAAAAAAAAGACGTCATGGTTTTTTTCCGTCGACACAGTTCGGCGGAGGTTGGTCAGGATCTCAACTGGGTGGGCATTTTCGCGGTCCTCGGGTTCTTGGGGTATGGGGCCGCCGCGAGGCGCGGAGGGCGGCGGCGAGGCCCTCTCGTCCCGGCGCACATGTACGACGAGGCGGGGGGAGGGGGCCCACGAACCTTGGCCTCCGAGTCGGACGCTGGGGAGGCCCGTGGAGTGGGCCGGGCGGCTCTGGTGCTCAGCCTCGCGCGGCGATGTGCCGTCCCCACCCCGGGCGGCAAGGCCGGCCCGCTCAGCACCAGTTGCGTGCGCGGAAAGATGGCCGCTCTCCGGCCCTGCTGCAGGGAGCTCAAAATGGAGGACGCGGCGGCCCGGGAGAGCGGGCGGGTGAGTCACCCACACAAAGGAAAAGGGCCTTTCCCTCTTCGGCCGCTGCTTCCTGTGACCCCACTGTGTACCGTGTACCGTCTTGGCATCTCCGTTTCTCCTCAACGCCTTGGAAGCAGGCCTTCCTCGGAAGGGGGAGGGGATTTTATGTGGTGGAGTTAGCCCCACGCTTAGTGGGTGGAGACGAGAGTTGGGCCAGCTTGGCAGTGATTGTAATTCTCCTTGGAATTTGCCCTTTGCGAGTTTAGGTCGTGGCTTATTCTCAAGTCTCTGAGACAGTAGTTTCAAGGTTTTTTTTTTTTTTTTTTTTTTAACCCTCCCCCTTTTCAATTTAGGTGTCGTGAAAACCACCGCTCAACCTAAGCCAGAATGGGGAAGGAAAAGACTCATATCAACATTGTTGTCATCGGACACGTAGATTCGGGCAAGTCTACCACTACTGGTCATCTGATCTACAAATGTGGCGGGATCGACAAAAGAACTATCGAAAAATTCGAGAAGGAAGCTGCTGAGGTAGGTACAATAACCGTAAGGAGAAAGATAGTTCAAATAAGTTATCCAACAAGTGTTAACTGCCCCAAACTAGGTACTAGTTAATACCTGAACGTGTTACTTAGGGTGGAATAAATTAGTGTTACATGTTCCAGTTCTTAGGTAACTCAGGGAAGTAAATTAAAGCCATCTAACAGCTGTAAAGTGGAGTTTAGAGTTTGTGCTTAAGTGAGAGTAAGGGATTTCAGGTTGAAGTATGGTTATGTTTAGTTACCTAGTAACCGTTCTTAATCCTTACAGATGGGAAAAGGCTCCTTCAAGTATGCCTGGGTCTTGGATAAACTGAAAGCTGAACGTGAACGTGGTATCACCATTGATATCTCCCTGTGGAAATTCGAGACCAGCAAGTATTACGTGACCATCATTGATGCTCCAGGACACAGAGACTTTATCAAAAACATGATTACAGGCACATCTCAGGTTTGTAGGATTAATAACTAGAAAATAACTAGAATGCTTCTTCGGAAAAGGGGTGAGTTCATTCTTTGGGAAAACATTCAACGGGATAGGTCTTTTTTTCTTTTTAAAGGCTGACTGTGCTGTCCTGATTGTTGCTGCTGGTGTTGGTGAATTTGAAGCCGGTATCTCCAAGAATGGGCAGACCCGTGAGCATGCCCTTCTGGCTTACACACTGGGTGTAAAACAACTAATTGTTGGTGTTAACAAAATGGATTCCACTGAGCCACCCTACAGCCAGAAGAGATACGAGGAAATCGTTAAGGAAGTCAGCACCTACATTAAGAAAATTGGCTACAACCCCGACACAGTAGCATTTGTGCCAATTTCTGGTTGGAATGGTGACAATATGCTGGAGCCAAGTGCTAATGTAAGTGATGTCAAGGCTTTAGAGAAAGTGATGGGTCAAATTTTGACACTAAATGACAACTGTTTGGGGAATGCTAATGGACGATCTTGTTTTTAGATGCCTTGGTTCAAGGGATGGAAAGTCACCCGTAAAGATGGGAATGCCAGTGGAACCACACTGCTTGAAGCTCTGGATTGCATTCTGCCACCAACTCGTCCAACTGACAAGCCCTTGCGTCTGCCTCTCCAGGACGTCTACAAAATTGGTGGTAAGTTGAATATTTCTTAATCAGAATGTAATTGTGTAGGTTGCTAGGTTTTCTTCCATAAGGTAGTTGACACCACATTTGTCAAATATTTTTAGGTATTGGCACTGTCCCTGTGGGCCGAGTGGAGACTGGTGTTCTTAAACCTGGCATGGTGGTCACTTTTGCTCCAGTCAATGTTACAACTGAAGTCAAGTCTGTTGAAATGCACCATGAAGCTTTGAGTGAGGCTCTTCCTGGGGACAATGTGGGCTTCAATGTCAAGAACGTATCTGTCAAAGATGTTCGTCGTGGCAATGTGGCTGGTGACAGCAAAAATGACCCACCAATGGAAGCAGCTGGCTTCACAGCTCAGGTAACAACTTTTAAAGTGGCAATGTTCTTACTGCCAGACTCTTGTCTTTTGAGACTTACTAAATGTAAATCTTTACTTAAAGGTGATTATCCTGAACCATCCAGGCCAAATTAGTGCTGGATATGCACCTGTGCTGGATTGTCACACAGCTCACATTGCTTGCAAGTTTGCTGAGCTGAAGGAGAAGATAGATCGTCGTTCTGGAAAAAAGCTGGAAGATGGTCCCAAGTTCTTGAAATCTGGTGACGCTGCCATTGTTGATATGGTTCCTGGCAAGCCTATGTGTGTTGAGAGCTTCTCTGACTATCCTCCTCTGGGTAAGGATCACTTGAGTAATTAGAAAATTACTGAAGCTGGGAAATGATTGCTTGTATAGAATCTGATGGTAATCTAAAATTTGTTTTCATAGGCCGTTTTGCTGTTCGTGACATGAGACAGACGGTTGCTGTGGGTGTCATCAAAGCAGTAGACAAGAAGGCAGCTGGAGCTGGCAAGGTCACCAAGTCTGCCCAGAAAGCTCAGAAGGCTAAATGAATATTATCCCCAATACCTGCCACCCCAGTCTTAATCAGTGGTGGAAGAACGGTCTCAGAACTGTTTGTGTCAATTGGCCATTTAAGTTTAATAGTAAAAGACTGGTTAATGATAACAATGCATCGTAAAACCTTCAGAAGGAAAGGAGAATGTTTTGTGGACCATTTGTTTTTTTGTGTGTGTGTGGCAGTTTTAAGTTATTAGTTTTTAAAATCAGTACTTTTTAATGGAAACAACTTGACCAAAAATCTGTCACAGAATTTTGAGACCCATTAAAACAAGTTTAATGAGAAATCTGTGTCTTCTTTTGGTCAACACTGTAACCTTGTACTATTAAGTAAAAGGAAGGGTAAGTTGCATAGATTCTGTTTTCTAATGTTAAAATATGCCGAAACTGAAATTTTGGGTAACATTTTTTTTTCCTGGGTGGAATCTTGGGAGTTTTCACTTTGTCTAAGGACAGGAAATGGTTAAGTACATAGTAAAAAGCTATGGGAAAAAGGTGGTTTAGTGCAATACAACTTACATAAGCAAGAGTGACCACAAGACAGTCTGTACTTATAAGCAGGTTAAATTCTGTAATACCAAAGTTAATATGTTGCCTATAAAACTTTATTACTAGGGAGTAAACTTGATACATTGTCACATTTTAATTTCCCACTTACTGGAATGCTTAATGTTCCATTTATAAATATTGTAAAGTAGTTTACCTAAAACAGGCATTCAGTGACATTCTTAATGGTAGAGTTAATTTTTCTCTAGATTTTAGAAGAAAGTCTAGAAGTTTTCTACAGTCACATAAGAACTAGAAATCAACTTAAATAGGGATTTTCATTTTTAAAAAGCAAGTTTGGGGTGAAGAGGGAACTGGAGATTAAATTAAGCCCAGTTTGAAGAGGTGTGATGGTCAGATACTCAAAATTTGGACTGGAGTGTAGGGTAAGCTTTGTTTTTAGTTTGAAGTTATTTTGGAGGTTTTTCCAAGTGTCCTTCCAAAAACGGAATATTGAATGATAGTTGGAAGTAAAGAACGGGATGAAAAAAGCTCTTTAAAGATTACTGTGGTGATTTTATAATTGCATATAGTAATAGGTAAATTAATAGTATTTGGGTGATAACCATCTGATTTTTGGCATTAGATAGCTGGCAAATCTCAGCACTGGTGCATTTGATAAAACAACTGAATCTTGACCATTTGAACTTTGTTCTCTGGGTAGGCTTTTTTCTTAATGAAAGGGGAATTCATCAGGCAGCTTGGAATTAAGGCAAAAAGCAGAGGACAACCTGGTAGGCAAACAATGCTGAGTGAAATGCATACCATAGCAGCCATAGGCAATAGGAAATGACTGCAGTTGAAAAGATGGGCATTTTCTAAGGTAATGGTCTTTTAATGATACTACCAGGAGCACTGATAAGGCCTGTAAATAAACTAATAAAAGGTTTTGTCCGCAACTGAAAGTATTTTTCACTTGTCTGTGCAAATGTGCTTACTGTTGCTTTAGTGTTAGAGATGACCTAAGTAAGGTTCTTAAAAATAGATCAATAAATGGTAGCTGGCATAAGAAGTTTTGAATGATGGCTTTGCTCGAAGGGATTTGTTCATGCCCTAAAACCAAACCAGAGAATATATCCCACTAAGCAGGATAGGAAGGAGAGTGGGGTAGTGTCCAGGAAAGTTAAGCTCGCCTAGTGTGCTTAACTTCATAGAACTCAGTACAGATGACCTTGGTTTGAGCACCATCTACTGGTGGTCACTACAGATTAGTTTGAATCCTGAGATTAAAGGGATACAGCATTTTACTTCAGCTCTGAGTTTTGTATACTAACTGCATTTTGTTTGATGAAAATTAAGCCAGAATGCCTCAAGCTGGTGTTTGACCTTCATGTTCTAAATTGGCCAGCTTTTGAGTTACCCATGTTTGTAAGGAAGCTCAGATGGGAGCTTGTTAACATTCGTCCCAGGAATTCTGGTGGGATTTCAGAAGATGAAACCGAGAAACTTCTCTGGTTTAGGAGTTAAAACATTGTCAGTAAAGCATATCTGATTTTTTAAGAAAACTATTTTGGTTAGTCATCCAATGCCCAGAATAGGCAATCCAAAATAAGTTTTCAGGCAGATCAGAGCCCATTTTTTATACCCTTTTCCTTTAATACTTAATGTCATTTACTTCCCAAGAGTGTGAGAATCTATCTGGTTAATGGAGTTATGTCCGTTAATGGTTATTGACTATACAGATGTGTAGAGTCCTTGAATTTAAGTAGCTTTCAGTATGGGGTATAAACATGAATATTACAAAAACGATTTCATGTGTATTTAAGTTGATGAACCTCATTAACTTTTGCAGGTTGATTACAGAGCTCAATGCAAAACAAATATTGTGGTTCTAATACTCAGTTACCTGAAATGGGCAACTCTAGAAAAAGGGTGACAATTTCTTGTGTGTTAATGTGACTTCTTTTATTTTTATTTTTTAAAGATTTTTTTAATTTATTTGACAGATCACAAGTAGGCAGAGAGGCAGGCAGAGAGAGTGGTGGAGGAGGCAGGCTCCCTGCTGAGCAGAGAGCCTGAATGCGGGACTCGATCCCAGGACCCTGGAATCATGACCCGAGCCGAAGGCAGAGGCTTTAACCACTGAGCCACCCAGGCGCCCCTTAATGTGACTTTTTTGATAGGCTTTAGGTTGGTAGCCAAATGTTCACCTCATTTGTTACCACAAAATGCAGAAATAGATTCAATCAACTGAAAGTTAAGATCTGGAGTTAACCACTGTAGCTTGTATGGGGTCAACAATGAGCTCTATGTCTTGCAAGGAAGGAAGGGGGTGCATGTTTTAGTTGAATAAGACCGTTTCACCCTTTTTTGTTTACCTTCCTGAAGTTTTTTTTTTTTTTTTTAACCTGTTTTATAATAACCGTTTCACTACCAGCGTATAGGTTCTTTTCCATCTAGGTGGTATCCGAGTCCTTTCCATTATTTGCAAGTCTTTGGGAATTTCCTTGACTTCTTAAAACTAGAATTGAAGCCTAACAAAATCATTGTCTTAGTGATTTTTTTGAAGAGGGAAAAAATTGATGAAACTGCCACATGTTTTCTTGAAAGGTAATTGACCCTTAATCCAATGGAAATCTTTGGGAGGGACCATATAATTTTGTCCTTTTTCTTTAAAATTTTTGTGTTCCAAGATTCATTGCTTATGCACCACAACCAGTGCTCCATGCAATATGTGCCCTCCTTAATAACCATCACCAGGCTCACCTAACCTCCAACCCCCTCCCTTCCGATTTCCCCCAATTCACTTTTCCTTTCTTTCTAATGTCCTCCATTTTACTCCTTACACTCCATAAGTAAGTTCTTTTGTTTTTTAAGCAACTAGGACCCAAATGTGACATCCATCAGTCACTAGCAAAAATGAGTGATGTAAGGAAAGTGGCATTGACATTGGACTGCCTTTAAAGGGGCACATGGGTCTCAAGAGTTTAGAGCTCTGGTTTCTGTGAGAGAGACCTCATGATACAAAGGTAATGTTAAGTTAATGTTACTCCCAAGTAAGCAAAAAACAATAGGAAACTTTACTAAGCAATCTAAAGTATTTTTAAAAGTATTTACGTGTTGTTAAAATTTACCCTTTCACACAATTTTGGGAGATTTTTTTTTTTAAGATGTTATCTGAGGGGTACCTGGGTGGCTCAGTTGATTGTTTTTGGCTCAAGTCATGATACCCTGGATCCTGGGTTGAGCCTTGCATCAGGTTCCCTGTTCAGTTCGAAATCTGCCATTCGTTACCCCTCTGCCCTTCCCATTACCTGTGTCCTCTCTTCCACCCCCCCAAAAATAAAATCTTTTTTTTTTTTTTTCAAGATTTTATTTATTTGACAGATTACAAGTAGGTAGTGGGGGAGACAGGCTCTCTGCTAAGCAGAGAGCCCAATGTGGGGCTGGATCCCCAGGACTCCCGAGATCTTGACCTGAGCCAAAGGCAGAGGCTTAACTCACTGAGCCACCCAGGCGTCCCCCCCCCCCCCCCCCCCCCGCCCCCCGGCCCCCGGTAACTAAAATTCTAAAAAAAACTTGAGAGCATGAGCAGGGGGAAGGGGCAAGCAAACTGTCCATTGAGTGGGAGCACCAATCCAACTTGGAGCTTGATCCCTGGACCCTGAGATCGTGACCTGAGCCACCCAAGCATTCTAAATTTAAGTTGACAGATGTTGTACCACAATCAAGGAATAGAATAGTTCCACCATCTCCTTCCTCAACCAAAATTCCTCCCCACCAAAATTCCCCCATGCCTCTTCATAGTAAACATACTCCTCTACCTCTAAGTCTTGGTAACCACTGATGTATTTTCTGTACCTGTAATTTTGTTTTGGCAGCAATGTCATACCTGGGTTTGTATAGTATATAGGTCTTTTGAGTCTTTTTTTTTTTTTTTTCCACTTAGCATGATGAATTTGATTCATCTGTTTAACATTTATCTGTAAACTCTTAAGATTTATTTGAGGGGCGCCTGGGTGGCTCAGAGCCCCGCATCGGGCTCTCTGCTCAGCAGGGAGCCTGCTTCCCCCTCTCTCTCTGCCAGGCTCTCTGCCTTCTTGTGATATCTATCTCTGTCAAAATATTTTTTTAAAAAAGATTTATTTGAGAGTGTAGGGGCACAAGCTGGGGGAGGGACAGAGAAAGAGAGAATCTTAAGCAGACTCCCCACCGAACACCAAGACGAGCTGAAACGAGTTGGGCGCTTAACTGAGCCACCGTGGTGCCCCTGCAACTTGTTGCTTTTTAATGGGACAGTTTATTCCTAGCTGATCGACATTTGATTTCCAGTTTCAGAAGGTTATGAGTTGAGCCACTTCAAACATTCACTGGTAGGTTTGTGTATGACCATTAGGTTTTCATCTTGTGTGAATACCTAGCAGTGGGATCACTGGATTGTATGGCAAGTGTATGCCTTGTACAGGAAACTGCTAAACGTTTTCCAAAGTGGCTAAATCATTAGTAATCAATTTCTCAAGTTTAGCTTTATTTTGCTGTGCTTAATTTTTTTTTAAGGAAAGAAAGTGTTAGGTTCTATAGCTCAGTGAAGGACTTTTTTTTAAATTGTGCCTACAGGGCGCCTGGGTGGCTCAGTGGGTTAAAGCCTCTACCTTAGGCTCAGGTCATGATCTCAGGGTCCGGGGATCAAATTCCATGTCCCACTCTATGCTCAGCAGGGAGCTTGCTTCCCCCTCTCTTTGCCTGCCTCTTTGCTTACTTGTGATCTCTCTCTTTGTCAAATAAAATCTTTTAAAAAAAA